GACAGTTGCTATAGGTTCCTCGGCTGAGCGTCCTACGTCTTGCGTGGCCCCGCGCAGTACTGGCATCTGGAGCTGGGGTATTTCTTCGAGTAGCTTGCACCACACAAGCGGTAAAACGACGACGATAGGCCTCGACCAATCTCTGCGCCGTGCAGGACCCATTCCAGAAAGGTGTAGGCGATATTGTCTAAGCCACAGACATTGAGCAGCACAGTTTATGCGATGGCAATCGGTCTTTGTGTTTAGCGTGCGCACAGTAGTTAGCAATGCAACTGCAAGGTGTTTGTGCAGTGAAAAGAAGCTAGATTTCAGTTGGCTGACGTTACGTATTTAACCGGGGATGGAGTTCGTGATAATGCCGTTGAACAAATCTGTGGCTACGATACATGCACGTTGTTATTAGGAAGAAATAGAACAACTCGCACTTTACAGTGTTCAGACGTCCCGTGTGTCCTGTAGAGCGCACAGTGGAGAGGCACAGGCACCGCCGGCGGAAGAAGTAGTGTTTGTAGTCTCACTCCTCTAACGAGGATATGAACTTCCTGCTCCAATGACGCAAAATGACGATTTTACATCATTGGAAGCAAGGAAGTGCCGACACTGAGATATTTCTCCCCTCTCCGGTGAAGTGAGGGAATGATGCACGACCATTCAAAAATATGACTGGGCTTCTAATGATACAAAGTTTAATGCAAATGGGCGAAGTGTCCCTTTAAGTGTGATCAGATGCCGTCATCCACTCATTCATACTGTGTAGGTCTTTAATGAGTTGTTGTGCTCTTCTTGATTGTATTTGTTCTGTGGTTACTGTGTAAGCTTCTTTGAGTTGATTTGCTAGGCTGGCTAAAGCTGTTTCGGTTCTTTGATAGTCGGAGACCGCAGGCTGTGGTGGTTTGAGTCCAGGCTGTTAGATTTACGTTGATAGGTTTGGCCTGTTTGCTGTCCGTGGGGCTGATCAGAGGCTGCAGGTTAGCAAGTGTGTGGGGTTGTTGTGTGTCTATACGTCTGTGTGTACATGAGCGTGCTTTCTGGGGTGGAGGGGCACAGGAAAAATATTTGTAACATGTTACACTGCTGACTTTACTTTAAGATTCCAACAACAGGTCCATAGATTTAAGTTGCTAACATTGATCAGCTCTGATCACTTTGTGAAATAAGTTGTAAAATTGTATTAGCAGTCATGCACATAATATAATGTTTTACAGAATCAGATTAGTATCACCAGCATACTGTCAGAGTTTCATGGCTAGTTGTGTATGGATAATTTACCCATTGTGTATCCACTTGTAAAGTTGGTTGAAAAAAAGTATAATGTATATTTCTTTGCCTGAATTTATTTATGTTTCATATTGAATTGGTAATGTCTATGTCATGAGACACAATGAGGTAATTTGTACTGTACTGATCAGTGATTTATAGAAAATAATCTTTCTTTATTTTATCAGGCCAGTTAGGCATTAGGAGCAACAAAAATCCTTCATGATCATCTGTTATAAATTGTTTGCAAATACTGTAGATGTTTTCTGATACCATTAGTGTAAAGGAATAAATTTGACAGCCTCCACATTAAGCTGATTTGGAGATTAGTCTATTGTCTGAAAAGCCAGTTCCATGTGATGGAAGATTGCTCTTCATTATTTGAGTCATTTTGTTCTCCTTTCATTTCCAGCAGGCAGCTATACAATGAGACCTGTCTCACAAAGAGAGAAATCAAGTCGCTGAGTACAAGAACCCAACAGAGAAAAGAACAAAGACCAAGACAATGGCACTATCTATGTCCTTAATCTGTGCATAAAATAAAATAATAAACAAATAGGATAAAATAAAATGTGCAATGACAAAATAAAATCCACAGGTGGGAAAAAAACACGGTAAGGGCTTTTAATAGGAACCCACATAACAGTGAAATTAAGTTATATGCTTGCCACACATTTACAGATAAACATAAACATTTTTAAATGTCTAAATTAAAAAAAAAACACAATTTCCAAATAGGAAATACTAAAAAATAGAAAGACCTAGGAAAAAAAAACTAAAGATTACAATTACATTTACACTGCTTTCATACACTGTATCATACCACATTTACATAGTACTGTACTCCATCATCAGTCTCTATCTGAACTTTATTGAGGTCGAACATTATTCCGGCTACAGCTAGTGATCATTAAAAAACAACACTTTATAAATAAAAATTATAGAGGTTTTATATGAAAGGATAAATAATAGAGTAATAAAGATTCAGACTTTTTTCTTCTTCACTAGGTATGTCTTACTCTCCATAAAACACCAATATTCTTTGTTGGACACAGCATTAGACCTAGGAACTTTACATAATAAACCTATTCAAGCACATTATTATCTATGAACTTCTCTGTCTAAGCTTAATAGCCAAATTTTTGATGTCTTACTAGATTTGTGAATGATTATAGAACTGAATTATTACTACTGATGCCGGTTTTCGTACAGTATGAGCTTGTATAATGAGCTACTAATGAAATAAAATGCTTTGAAGTGAGGCCACTCTGTCACATGGCAACTATCTATCAAATTGGACGACCAGTATGATGCTTGGAGTGACAATGCTTTTGAATGTAATGACAATGTGTCTGACATAGCGTAGAGAAAAGTAAGAAAAGGCATTGTTGATAACATTCGTAATTATATGTTCTGTCACCAAGTGCTTGTTCGCCGTGGGAATGGGTTTCTGTAAATATTTTTATAAGGAGTGACTGCCTAGACCTGGTCTATTTTTAAATTGTCCTGAAATAACTTGTGTTATGATTAAACGCTATTCAAACAAAACTGAATAGAATCTGAATCTCAAAAAGGCCTGTCTGGAGGCATGCGAACAGCACTGTAGATCAAATGCAGCCAAGCAATTTGATCACTAAAAACCATAATAACTCTTCACTAATTTGCTAAGTGTAATTGGTATATTGATATTTTAGTAGTGCTATCAGCATCTGGTTAGGAGGTCAAACTCATAAAGTAGATTAAAACTGAATGCCATTACAACCTATTAACCACCCGCTGGACACTAGTCTTTTACTTTATGCATTTGTGTTTTATATCTGGATAACTGTATCACAGTTATTTGTATAGACAGATGAATGGACATTCATTTCTTATGTCTATTTCTTGCTAACTGAAAGTCCAAAAATTACATTAAGCTACGACTCCTACAGAAGCTAAAGCTGATATTCAGTCAGTAACAGGTTGATTTGCAATACGGTGTATCTGTTTAGCATCTTATCAGCTACAGTAGCTGAACCTCACAGTTGGTGCAGTAAGGCCTACTGTTCCTCATTGAAAAAGTAAATCCACTTGTATCCACTTGAAGCTGCATGAATTATGCATTGACGCAGATTACTTTTTGGGGGTGCTGGTTATGAAAGGGACATCAGGACGTACTGTATGTCTGATTAGCCAGCATTGCTGCTCATATCCTCCATTACCAGCCTTCACATTTGTGATGTAGTCATGGCCTATTCCTATTGTGCATTAAGTATGTATAGGTTTCCATCCATAAGTGTACTGGAAAAGCATTAATGTGGCTCTATGGTCAGCAAGCAGATAATTATTTGTCCCGTCAAGACACTATAGATCCAATCTATCAATCCTAGATGCCACTCCAGATGCTAATAAAGAAAACGTACTGTAGTACAAAATTGGTGCTGTTGACATTGACACAAATACAAAAGATTGTGCTTACTGGTAGCTGAATGTCTCATCCCTACATTTCTCAGTACTTCACTGTAATGGTTATATTAATAAAAGAACATTTTCCTGCAATAATTACTGATGAACCTTTAACCTTTGAAATAGCATTTACACAATTTAAATCAAACAATATAATTAAGCTAGACATTTTGTAACTAGAAAAAATCCAACCATTACAGCTTAAAATATTGTATTTACAGTAACTGTGTAGTGCAGTCAATGTGTCAGAGTTAATTGTTGATTTTCTTACAAGAAATGTGCAGTTGTTGTAACAATAGAGAAGCTCTACATATAACCATTTTTAGCCCACCCTCAGGAAACCATGCTGCCAGAGAACAAATTGTCTACAGGCAGTGTGCCATCTCTTTGTGTATTGGCATCACCAGGGTGTCTGTGTGCCACTGTTTTGCACAGAGTTGTCACTCACTCTGTGAAGTACAATTTGCCCGGAGCATAGACGCTCCATGTGCTAATGCTTCAGGGTTTTTCTGGCAGCATTTGCTCTCCACATGGGTTGGCATTTCCCCACACGCTCACCATTGGGCTTGTCATCAGTATACAGTAGCAGATCCTCTTGATGCTGCAGCCCTGTAATCCAGGCCAGTCAAACAATCTGCCTGGTAAATGCAACATGTAAGCTTACTGCTCTCATCTGTAAAAAGGGATGCTACTGATGTCTTTGTCTACATGAGCAGAACATCTGTCATCATTACCACAGCAACAAGTCTGTATGATCAGAACAAAGCAGAATGATAGCAGTGAAACAACACAACATGTGTATTTCTGACTAAAGCTGTGCATTCCTGCTTCTGCTCGATCTTCTAGGGTACTAACATCCCACTTTGAAAAGTACAGTGATGGTAAAACAGAAGCCTTTCCTCCGCAGCTGAAAAAATCCTTGAAGAGGCTCTGAAACCAATTTAAGATACCGGTCTTATTTTCTCTATTGTATATTTACTTAATTCAGCAATAGTTTTAATCCAGTTTAATCTCTTCCCTACGCTCATGTGTTTTGGAAAGGTTAAAAAAAAAAAAAAACTCAAAATCAACAGTGACAGTCTGCCATTATACTTGCTATGCTATGATTGGACAATCATATGGGAGAAGAGTTAAGTGAAGTTCAGTTTAGACAACACAAATTTTTTCAAATGAGACATCCTTGCTCACAAATGTCTCAAATATCAAGCAGTCAGGTGATATCTTTGATACTGTTTGTTCCAAAAGAAATTCTAAATAATTTGTCACTATTTGACTTCCCCTGCAGGTTCATCCAAAGGATGGAGGTACTAGACAACATGGGCGAGGGAGGAATGGAGCTGGAGGGATCAGCCATCACAGCAGCTGTTATAAACAACAGCCTAGATGGTGCTGCAAACATCACCAACGTTACCTTTTTTCCATATTATCAGCACTCTCTGTATGTGGCTGCCAGCTACATCCTGGCCTACTTCTTCATCTTCCTGCTGTGTATGGTGGGAAACACACTGGTCTGTCTGATCGTACTGGAAAACCGTCGTATGCGCACAGTCACCAATCTCTTCATCCTCAACCTGGCTATCAGTGACCTACTGGTGGGCATCTTCTGCATCCCTACAACACTGGTGGACAACCTCATCACAGGTAATATACCCTGCCATAAGTCTTCACCTTGGCCATAACTCCTTACTGTCACATGTGCGTTGCAGGAAAGTCAGTTCTCAGATTTGGTTTGAAGACAGACAGTTTATAATGTGAGACAGTTTGGCTCAATGCTTGACCAACCTTAATTTGATACTCATGATTACTGCTACAGTGTTGCAAACAGGCCACATCAAATGATGATGCTTCTACATGCATGTTAGTCAGGCCTTGTTTAGACAGATTCTTTTGGATTTGGTTTAATGTACCCTTGTGATGTATAGATAAAGCATGATCATGCAGTATCACAATTTGCTAATAGCTACTAATCAGATTTCAAAAGCCACTAAGTCCTCTTTAACAAAACTTGCCCCAGCAGCCCCATGCTCCCTCTGTACCAGACTGAGTTCCTGAGCAAGCTTTGATGGTGGCTGCTTCCACATTCAGGATGTCAGTTTTAAGGGTACTTTGTTGAAATGGTGCATGTTGCACAGACTGAGTAGCAGTCTTACATTTTAAAAACGTGGCCCAACTTCAATCTTTTAGTTCTTGCCAAAAGCAGGCAACACAGCTACTGCTTCCACTTTTAATGATACGGTCTATGATAATAAATGAATTAAATAATACAATAAACTTAAAGGATAAGTTTGGTGATATTACATATTTTTCTTTGAACTGGATATAAATGGGTTAAGTTACTGACTTTGTCTTTTGTTGAAATGAACCAGGACAGACATAACAACAGTGAGAACTTGTGCAAAACCTTGAGCACAAATGCAAAGTTGGCTTTAACTAGCAAGACAACAAAAGCTGCAAGTGAACTCATAATGGAGGTCTTATTTGAAATGAGAGTAATGAGGAAAGATTTGAAGACTTGAAGTGGTTGAACAAGCAAATATGGGTTTGTGAGACTAGACGAAGCTGAACAAAGAGTTAATGACACTGATGACTGCAATGCACGAGCCGACAGCCTGCTAGCCTGTATGATATGTAAACTAAGTCAAATTCAAGCACACTGCAAGGACACTAAAAACCATGTAAGGAGGTCCCACTTGGGAAAGAGTGTGGTTCCAACAATTCCTTTGTCAGAGGTGGTATTTGCTGATGATGAATCCCAGAAGGAGGCCTTAGGCAGATGGTCCAAAACAACTTTTACAGTGCGGACCGTGGTCTCTCAGGTGAAATTTTTGCAACTTTAAAATGAACTATTATCTTAAATGTATCTATGAGTTGCCAACACAACATGAAGAAGACACTAGCGAGATAGAACTAGAAAACTTGACCTGTCTGCTTCTCTTCAAAGGGACAGTGCATGAAGATATGGACCCCATATCTCCACTTTCCCAAAGTAGCTTCAGCATTTGCAAGCATTGTCCTTGACTGATTATGGACCCGCTTGTACCTTGCTAACACTACAGTAGTAACACTACAGTTGGAATGCCTCTTTAGCTTTCATAATATTTTTACTATATTCTAAAGAATATTATTATCGTGAAAAATAAATAAAAAATTAATACTTTTACACATTCTGCTGGCAGCTGCCTAGAAAGAAATAACACAGAACAGGTTCAAGAAAAAACCTCCATCCAATGACAGATGGCTTTCAATAATCAAAACAAAATACTCAATGGAAAATAAAACCACTTTTATATTTAGACTTCAAAGAGTACAATTTTCAGAGAGATGGCTCTAGATTGCCCTACCTGAGGGACAGATACCTGTGTTTATCAAAATATTTATACAATCGGAATACTTTGAACTTATCCTTGCTGTGTTTGTTTTTGCTCATGTAGTGTATTTGTTTTGTTTCATAGGTACTCCGTATAATAATAATAATATTATTATTAATAATAATAATAATAATAATAATAATCCGGCCAGTACACATTGGCATTACCCTAGTTGGGATGGGGTCCATGGCTCGATGGCTAAAAGGAAGAAATCATTAGTTAGTTGATGAAGGTCGATGGGAGAAAAGCAGTTTAAGTATATATCTGGTTTTACAGCTGTTGTGTTTGAAGATAAATCGGTACCTGTTGGAGGCAGGAGGTGATGGATTTTGTCTCTGAGTTTCTGGTAGTTTGATTTTATCATAAAAGAAGCTCATGAAGTTGTTGCTACTGAGGACTAGAGCAAAACAAAAGAGCTGTGACTGTCTGACAGCCTGGCGACATTGCTAAAAAGAAACCCTCGGTTGTTCTTCAAACAATAACTAGCACAGTACGGGCTTTCATCTTTTCATCTCCTCTATTCTGCCTTTCACTTACGGCCTCATTCTGAATTCCATGTGACTGCAAACAACGTACTGGAGCACGCCTAGATAATCGTGATCCTGTAAGTGAGTGAGTGAGTTTCATCTGCAGTTCATAAAGACGCTTCATAACTAAAACTGCCAGGAGAAACAAAAAGCACCACATTTTGGTGCTTTTTGTACTAAAAAAAAATATATTCACTGGAATCATACAAATGTACTAGAAATATACACTTTATGTTTGTTATTTTTTAGGAATCAGAAAACAAGTCCATTTGTCAGTATTCAGCTTTGAGGCCTGTGAAAGCTTGACAGTGATCAAGGGGTCAAACAAACAACAACCTGTCACCAAAGTGTGACAATCGGACTCTTTTTCCATCTGGTGACACAATCTCATGTATTGATTTTTATTCCCAGCCACCCGTAGGTAACAGCAACATATGGTGTAGATAGAACAGCTGGAGGATTTTATAATGGCAACATGAGTAAAGGATTCCGATATGTATGATTTAATTAAGAAAATAATAATCATACCTCTTCACTCCAACTGTCCACTAGTCAAGAACTATAACATACCAAGATGTACCTTTCTCACACACACACAAACAATTCAGGTTAGCGGCACTTACTACAGATGTTGTTAATCATCTAGTTCAGTTAGAGAAAAAGAGAACCAAATTTGAACCATAGGAGGCCTCAGACACACAGTGCAGTTCAGTAGTAAACGCTGTCTCCCACAGCTCTTCTAAACTGATGCACAAGATTAAAAATAAACAGACTGCATGCCTAATTAAATGTAGACATTTATGAGATGTATGGGTCTTGGTAGGGACATTTAACAACATAAATCACATTTTTGCTGAAGTTGTTATGAATTAATCAATATTGTATTTCTTCCTAGTGCAAATACAATACCACACATTACATCTACACATAGATGACTGACAAGAGTAGGAAACAACTTGAAAATGATACCTACAAGAGAACCTACTAGAATATATATATATATAGACTATATATGTCATATCTGACAACCTGGGAGCACACAGTATTATAGCCAGCAGTTATTTGTCCCTGATTCTTGCTTCCAGAAAAATAATACCATGGTATTTGTCCGACTTGTTTGAAAGGGTTTTCAGGTAGTATTTGTGAACTACAGTATAAGGAAAGACAGGGAAAGCTGAACTGGAAAAGACTTGCCAAGTGAAAAATAATACAAGCACTGTGTAGACAATTTCTTTTGACAATTGTCAACAGAAGAGTTAAATACTATGGCAACACACATCGGGCTAGTAGTGGCAACCCCGCAGCCAGTAACCACAGGTAAGGCAATAAAAGGATATTGCCTTACCTCCAAGAGTAAATAAAATGTTAGCAGTTCACATTATCTGGCTGAAATTCCTAGAGGCTATTGCTATTGAGACTATTGATAAAGTCATTCTTACCTTTGTAACACAACCTTTGATACACTACGTACCGTGCAATCATATGTGTGCACACCTGTCATAGATGAGCTCTGATACTTAAACAAATATCACTACATATTGTAGTGAATAATGCATGCTTTTGATCATAGGCTATATCTATAATTGGAGATGTGCTGCTATTTACCACAAAAGATATAAATTAAGAAATTTCCTCTCACACAATTATCAGTATGTCGATGACCTGCGTGTCATTTTTACTCTTCAAAGGGACGAGAAAGCAGTCAGAAGATGAGCTGCATGTTCACGAAACCTCTTTCCTTTCCTCTTGCCTTGTGCAGCCATTATCCCCTCTGCTCAACAATGAACTCATCTATAAATTGTTCCATGAGTTTCTATAGCAACACCATAGCAACTGATGTAACCCTGCTCACCGTAGTTGAAAAAGTTTGAAGTATATGTAAAGTATGTACTGTTTTTCAATAAATGTAGAAATACCACAATGAAAAGTCCTGCCTTCGAGTTTGTAGCCATTTTAATATTGTAGCTGGCCCATGTGAAGTCGGACTGCTTTAAATAGCCCTGATATAATGCAGTACAATACAGCAGCCCTGGTGTAACCCCTGCCTTTATTAAGCCTATTATATTTAATGTTGTAACCCTGTATTGGATTGTATTGCATTAGACTGAACGGTCACATGGAGAGCACACCAAACATGTGAGCAAAACATAATCGAAACAATTGCTATAGTGATTTTGGCTGAAGAAGAAAGACTCCTAGTCACCCTCAACATCTGTGGTGTTAAGAATAGTGGTTCCCAACCTATCATTGATTAAACTAACAACCAACTAAGTGACATATTTATGGATATTTTATATTGTATCCAATGCATACCAATAACAGTACAGAACAACAACTGATTAACTGTACAATGAACCTAATTAGCAAACACAATAACTGCAGGAAGGTTTTAAGTGATTAATTTTGTTTCTTAAATATTGCATCAGATATTTTATGGAACTTTTTATACAATTCTATGGGTTTTTTTCTAACAGTCTTAACTACTCAATAGGCCTCTTTTTTTTTAGACAAATTCAGTGTTTTATTCTATGTGATGCCTGGCCATTTTCTATTAGCTCTTTGGTTGTTTTAACTGCATACTTGCAGGACAAGGCTGTATAGTAGAAATTGAAGCCAAAGTGAAAAAAGATTGTCTTCAGGTTTTTCAAGTTAAGATCTTAAATAATCTAAACTTTAAGAATTCATTTGGTTTTCTTCACAGAAATGATCAAAATGCTGACATATAGACCATGCTGTGTAGTTTTGCTCCCCTTTGCCCTGTTTGGCTCAAGTGCCCATCAAGGTCAAAATTTTAAAAAAGAATCTTTTTAATTTTTTTTTGAAGTATTAGTAGTTATTGTTGTGAGATATGTGTCAGATCTGGTGCCTGCCACTTATAAATAATCTCATAAATCATTCAGGCCACTTCTCAGTTAATTTATTTACTTAATGCATGCATTTATGCATGTTGTCTATCTATACAGCCCCAGTCAACACCCCCCACACCCCAATTATTCTGATCATACATAAGACATACATCACTTTCCATATGCAGTTTTAGCTATTTTTTTGAATTCCTGTTTGTTTTTGTCGTTTGTCTTACTTTGTATAATCTCTTTTTGAAGTTGTGTCCCTTTTCTTGTTTTCACTTTAAAAGAAAATGTAAAAAAATATATAATTGAAGAGAGCCCAGTAAGCATCTGTGAGTGACGACCTGAGAGTGAGAAAACGCCTTCCTGTTGAATGAGTGATGACATCATCTTCACTGTCGATACTTGAGTTTGGAGGGAAATCAGCCCCCTATCTCTTTTTTTCTTTTTAATTCCAATTACACTTTGTTTTCATGCTTTTGTGAAATAAGGTTTATAGGACTGTTTCCTTTGTAATTGGATCTAATTACTCATTAATTAGCACTTGAGGCTGTGTGTGTAGCTTTGAACCCTTGTAATGTGTATAATGCTGTTTGGTCATGTTTAGTGTTTCTATAATTTATTTTGAAGTATAATGCCTATAAAGAAATATAACATAATAATATGTTCAAGCTCACCGTTGGTCACTGGGAAATGTAGCTTTATAATTCATGCTAGGGTAAAGAAATTGAAAGAGCTACTACTCTTTGGCTGGTGGTGGGTCATTGACATAGTACTACTAATAACAATCCTATCAGAAAACTATCTATTATGATAATGATAAAAAGGTTTTTATCATTATTTGTGCCTGTTAACAGCGACATTTTGGTGCCCTTTGGTATTGAGGACATTTACTTATCATTATACAACAGATGGTTGTGTAACAAAATAAGAGTTTGCAGTTCCTTCATGCTACACACATAGAAAAAGCTTTAATCCAAAACCCCACGCTTCCTTTTCCAATAGCTGTAAGATATTTATATCATAGGTAGCTTAATGCATGTTTCAGCAGTGTATGAAGGAGCTACCTTACCAGTTATGGCATCTGAATGTGCAGCTGTTGCCATAATCAGAATCTCCTGATCTAGTCGATTTGAACAATTTTGGCTTAGCCTAAAGGCCCTTAAAAATCAAACCAAATCAGACATCATTCAATTATGTTTTCAGCAATTAAAACAAACATTAAAACAAAAATGTAGCTAGTTTGAAGGAGCTACCAGTTGCTGCATATACATGTACTTTGTTAATAAGATTATTATAATTGCCATGACAATTATAATAATCTTATAATACTTTATTTAAAATGTTTATTCAGCTTCACTTAACTTAACTTAACTCTTCTGTTTCTGTTACAATCAATAAAGTGAGGTATTTATTGTCCAACTTGAAGGGGGGAACGAATGAGGAAGAGGGCAATCCAGAGAGTGCAGGCAGAGATGAAGGAGGGAGGCTGTGGGTAGATGAGTCAAGGCAGAGCTGAGAACAAAGGCTGGCCAGGTGATCCACTGTCGGTGATATAACGATCTTAGAAGCAGGAGAGGAATGGAGCTGATATACTGCAGCACTGATTACTGGATGGGCTTCAGGTGTGAAGCTTGAACCAGGTGTGAAAATCGAGTGGAGACTCAGGACCCAGAGGAGAGAGAGAGCGATAGATAGACCAAATCACAAGTTGCAAAACAAGTAAATATATCACCTTTGTCGACCGGGATCATGGGAAAGTCAGTGCATTGTACAAAAAAAAGGCAACTGAAAAAACTTTCATATACATAGTGTACACTGTTGAATAAATAAGACTGTTGCTTAAACTCAATAATAAATACTTGTAGTAGAGTAGTAGGAGAAACTATGGTTACCACAAAACGCCCTATCTAGAACCAGTGTTTGGAAACAAGGCAGTCTCCACAGAAGACGACCTCCTCATCTGTAGATAAAAACTCACTCTAAGGTAATAAAAACACAACAAGTATTTTCAGGTGATTATACACTAATAAAAACATAGCTTTGAATATTATATTTCATTTCTATCAGTAGATCCTCCAAAATGCTACACACTGGACCTTAAAGAGAATATAACATGCTTATTTTCTGTAATATTCTCCATAGTGTCTAATAGTAATCTCTACAGAGAGGATGTCAGTGTGAATCTGTTTAGCAGGAAGGTCTGGCCCGGATTTAGATACTTATTAACATCAGCATGAACAGATTTGTTCATGAAATTTTCAACAAGCAGCAGCTCTTAGAGGCTTTAACAAAGAAGCAAAACAGCCGCTCTGCTCGCATCTTTGACTGCTGCTTACTATAATTAACTGAAACTAACCACTATTTCGATATACATTGTGGTCCCCGATGGTGTGCCTTTAGTGAAAGACTTTCAAAAGTAATTCGGCCGTCTGAATTAATTAAAAATAAATGTTGCCTTCTCCGCCTGGCTCGCCTACACCTAAAAACAGCATAGCTAATAGGGGTAAGATTGGCAGAGAAGATGGTAGATCGTAGCCACACCTGTAGGACTGTATTTGAAATTCATATAACTAATAAACTACATAAGCTTTTAACAGAATGTACATGCTAATGGCAGTAGGGCAAACAGTGTGTGGGAAGGGTGGGAGGGGTCCTTTGCGATGAAAGAGACCAAAAGTGCACAACGCCTCTGAAAGATGTCCTTGATGGAGTGGAAAGACACCATATACCTGAAATCATACATATAGTACACTATAAACATACTGTAATACTGTAATATATCATTATTTTGCACTGTTATAATCAGTACTAAACAATTGTGCTGTCAGTACCTCTTCTTAAGGGAATGAAAGAGTATAGTGGAACCAGGAAGATAATGTATTATTTGGTAAGAGATGTTTGGCTGTTGTGCTGCAATTTTCCACCACCCTGAACTCAGTTTTCATTGATTACAAACTTTCTGTGTCCCTCTGCTACAAACCTATGATGCTCTATTCGAGCAATTTACCAAGGGTATACTCATTCCTTTCGGCTGTGGCAGGGATGAAAAAACAATGATCATGTAGGATGAAGCAAGCTGTGAAGGTCCTATATAAGATTAGATAAGATAAGATATACCTTTATTAATCCCCCATAGGAGAAATTCAAATGTGCAAATATTCAAAATATATATCTAACATTAGAGAGGGTAACAAAACCTAGACTCATGAAAATGTAACTTTCCAAATCTAATTCTAAACCGTACTATAATCTAAATGTCTACACTCTCTATGTTAATCTATTTTTGATTAAAACCCAGGTTTAAGAATATCTGTACTGCCTGAAGCTTCTTCCTGCCACATTGTAATCACTATGATGACTTTTAGAAATCCTTAACAGTTCAGTTGAATCATGTATAACTTGTTACAGATATGTCACTGTGTTACTACTGAGGTCCAACCTTGTCATTTTTTCAACAGGTTGGCCCTTTTCCAGCATTGTGTGCAAGATGAGCGGCGTTTTGCAGGGAGTGTCTGTTTCTGCATCAGTCTTCACCCTGGTGGCCATTGCTGTTGAAAGGTTAGTGTATGTTGTAGTTTTATAGCTAACGCTAAGACTGTGACATTATTTTTGTTTATTATTATTATTCAACTGACTGAAAATGAATCAGTGACAAGTTTGACTTAATTTATGAGGTAACAGCCATGCTAAGCTCCTGTTGCTTTATTTTAACAGAGCAGTGCTTTGAGCCAAATGATAACATCATGTTCAACATGCTGATGTTTAGCTGCTATAATGGATCTATGATAAGAACTGGATACCAGACTCAAAGATGGTGCCCACTCAAATAAAAACTGCAGACTTTACAACTCGTAAGTTTGCTTCTACATTGTGCACGTTAGTGTTTCCCCTGCTGGCCCTGTCTGCATGTTCCTGCTCAGTCCACTGACAGTTTACTCTTCAAACACACACCCCAGTAACCTCCTCAGAGTACTGTTGCCTGTGAGAACTCTCCCTGCTGGCATTTAAGCCCTCAGCTGTTGGTCTCCTCATGCAGACTATTGTATCCTAACTCTGCAACCTCACTTAAAGGTGCAC